GGAACTTTGACAATTTTAAACAACCTTCTTGTACCAATACTTTTGCTTTGTAGATAGAAGTTGTTGAGGATGATAGTGAGAACTCATAGCAACCAAAACCACTTACATATCTTTAGAATTGAGAGAAATATTCCCTTGTGACCAATGGGAATAAGGCCTTGTCCAACCAAGACAACTTCTTCAATCAACCCCTTGCACTTTTGAATCAATCTTGATAACTTTGAAATGTGGTGAACCAAAATAAACCTTGTCATACCATTTCTTCCAAAACAACTTCAATGGTGAGGTTTGAATTTCTCAAGCTTTATTGACAAGGGCATGGAAATAAACTCATGAACCCATGGATCAACTTTCTAAGCCACGTTGCCTTTACCTACATTATTAACAAGTATGACAAACCAACATTGTATTTTATTAATTAAAAGGAAAGTCAAAACAAAACATGCATGATCACAAAAGAAAAACAAGTCAAGGTGCTTGGTGATTCCTCAAAGAGCAAAGCTAAAGATAGGGAGGAGAACCAAAAGCCCTAATGTGATCTTGTTGTGATTGAATCAATATGGTATGATGAAGGGATCTTAGGGGGGGAAATTTGGGTATAACACTTTCGACCTTGCAGCTTTCTTACTTCGACAATCTCTAGCATAATAGCCAAAACCTTGACAATTGTAACATTGCACCCCTTTCGTGTCAATTTTCTTCCCAGAATACTTGTTGCCCGCTCCTTTCAAATCAATATTCTTGCTTGACTTCTCATCACCAGCAAGATTCTTACGCTGCTTCGATTTCTCTTTTCCAGCTTTCTTGCTGAATCTTGATTCCAATGCTTGTTCAATTGTCTTCTCCCTTTCTGAGTTTCTTTGTTGTAGCCTCATTTCATGAGCCTCCAAAGAAGCTTGAAGTTCTTCCAACTTCATCTCAGATAAATTCTTGGCCTCTTCAATTGTTACAACAAAATAATCAAAATCTGCAATTAGAGATCTTAATACCTTTTCTATCTTCTGCAGATCCGTTAGTGCTTCACCACACGCCTTCATCTGGTTTGTTAGCATCGCCACTCTTGAGAAATATGCTGAGACAGATTCATTCTCTTTCATCTGTAGCATTTCATACTGCTTTCTCAGAGTCTGCAACTTCACCTTCATCAGTTTCTCATCTCTACCATACAACGACTTCAGCTTTTCCCAAACTCCTGTTGTTGTTTCTTCTTCGATTATCTTTTCAAACACATCACAATCCACACACTGGTGAATCAAGAACAGCGCCTTGCCATCTTTCTTCCTCTGATCTTTGCGCGCAGCTTTCTGGGCTTTCGTAGCATCTTCCTCCAGTTGTGACATTCCATCATTCACGATTTCTACAACATCTTGAAATATGAAAATAACCTTCATTTGTGCCACCCATCTTTGATAATTTTCACCTTTGAAAACCGGAAGATTTGCTGGAAATTGCGTTGAGGTTATTGATCAGTTTGCCATTAGATTCTCTCTAAATTGCAAACAAGCTCTTGATACCAATTTGTTGGAATAAAAAATTTCAAGAAAGATGAATATTGTGAAGAAGAAGAAGAAGAAGAGAGAAGAAGAGAGAGATTGTTGAGTTAGTTAGTGTAACTAACTCTTAAAACTGAAACTGTTATTATTGTTGTTGCAGTTATGTGGATTACAAAGTAATGACCCTTTATATAGGCAACATGCTCAGGCCCAAATACAAGCTAAAACCCAAATAACAACTAACAAGAATTAACCAACTAACAATCATATTCCTTATTCATCTCTTTCACCTGCTCCATATGTGATTCCCTATCTTGTCCAAATTCTCCTCAACTACATTATCCCGAAAGAAAACTCATGTTTGGTTAACTTCACCTTCTCAAAGGCCTTATCTTTATCATCCAAAGATAAGTTTCTTGATTTTTGTCAATGACAGGTCTCCTTCAATAAGTGTTTTCAGCTAGGAATCAGTGGAAGCGTCCGGAGACATCCTCTTCACATTAGTTGTAGGGGGTGGCAGGATCCGGTATGTGTGTAGAAGTAATTTCAAACTCATGCGTGATGGTTAGTAAGTAACGTTAGAAATAGCTTGTGTTGCTGGTTTAGAAAAAAATATAGTGATATCATGACAGTTTTTTAATTCTCAAATGGTACATCATCGTCAACGGTTTCCATAACCCGCTAAAAAATCAAGAGTGTTGTGTCGATTACTATGATATTGTAATATATAACGTGACATGAATAAGATGAAATCTGCTGCGATATAATAACATTCAAAGTAACTATTGTTTGATGGAAATGGAAGTAAGCATCAGAGAATATTAAGAGATAACTATTGTTTGATGGAAATAAAAGTTATTGATAACTAACAAACCTGAATTAAATGTATTGTGGCATTAGTGACAGTGGTCCCAGAAGCTTCCTAGTCCCAGAAGACAGTTTCCAGTGCTCCCATTATAAACTACTTCAATCACTATGTTTTCGGTACACCTAAAAAATTATACGTAAGTTTTTTATTTTTTTTTATTTTTTATGAGAGTTAGTGTTCCACCGACGATCAATAGCGGTTATCCCTTTTTTCCATGTCATGCTAATTTTAAAACGTAGTTACGAAATTGAAGTCATGCACCAAAATAGTACACGACTTATATATATATCGTCTAATTTCAAAACTGATTAAACAATAGTTGCGTGTAAACTTTATATACCTATTACCTCTACAACAGACTAAACCGGCTTCTCGAACATTCTGGGCCGAAAATGGGCCTAGTCCAAAAGTATAAGCCCGGGCCCACTCTCAATAGATGACGCAAGCCCACACGCAATCAGGCAAAACAAACGCGCAAATGCATAGGTATAAATAGAAACACCACCCTCTTCCCTTTCCCTCCATTTTCATTCTAACTTTCAGTTTCCTAACCACAACAAAAAAAAATCATCAACAATGGGAAGAAGTAAGCAAATTCTCATTATTTTAGTTTTCTCTTTCATCTCAAACTTTTTGCATTTAATTCATCTAATTCTAAGTTTCTAATCATAATATGAACATTTTGATATGATTAATCAGGACCTGCGAGATGTTACCGTCAGATAAAGAACAAACCGTATCCAAAATCCCGATTCTGCCGCGGCGTTCCTGATCCAAAGATCCGAATCTACGACGTTGGAATGAAGAAAAAAGGCGTAGACGAGTTTCCTTTCTGCGTCCATCTAGTATCATGGGAGAAAGAAAATGTTTCCAGTGAAGCATTAGAGGCTGCTAGAATTGCCTGCAACAAGTACATGTCGAAGTTTGCTGGAAAAGACGCGTTTCATCTGCGTGTGAGGGTTCATCCTTTTCATGTGTTGAGGATCAATAAGATGCTGTCATGTGCTGGGGCGGATAGGTTGCAGACTGGGATGAGAGGCGCGTTTGGGAAGCCGTTGGGGACGTGTGCAAGGGTGACTATTGGGCAGGTGCTGTTGTCTGTTAGGTGTAAGAGTGGGAATGGGATTCATGCTCAGGAGGCTCTTCGTCGTGCTAAGTTTAAGTTCCCCGGTCGTCAGAAGATTATTGTTAGTAGAAAGTGGTAAGAGTTCTTGATTGTTGAAACTTCACTTTCGCAATTCATAATCATTTCTTTATCATTTTGATTTTATGACTTAAGATTTTTTTCAAATTTTAGGGGTTTTACTAAATTGGGTCAAGATGAGTACTTGAAGTTGAAATCTGAGAACAGAATTGTGCCCGATGGTGTAAATGCTAAGGTAATTTATCACACACTTACACTGACACACTTTTTTTCAAAGGTTTCAGTGCTACAGAGACAATGTTTGACTCGTTTGCTCACCTAATAAGAGAGGTTGGAGGTTTTGGCTATATTTTTGGATGGATTGAATGTGCTGAATTTGTTTTCTTTGTCCTTTTTCAGGTTCTTGGGTGCCATGGACCTTTGGCCAATCGTCAGCCAGGAAGAGCTTTCTTGCCAATGTCTGCTTAGATATGAATTTATTTCAACCTGCTGAATATGGATCTAATGATCGGTGATTATATACACTGATTAATTAATAGTATGTATATTTGATTTTTGTGTATTCAACTGTCTTTCCAAGATGTCTGGAGTATGAGAAATACAAATTTGATGTATCTAACTTTTAATTATGTATTGTTACGTTCGAATAATATTAAATAAAGCGTTTTTTTTTGTGTGTAAAATATTCTCAATTTATAAGGTGGTGTGTATGTTATGTGAAATATGACAAACATGAAAGACAAGTATTAACTAATCCAGTTGTTAGATTTTAGGGATTAATGAGATTTACTATAAGTTTGAATTGTTCGAATACTATCTGAATTCTATATTTGATAATCAGATTTTGTTTTTTTTTTCGGTTGAATGACAAGAAGCGTCACGACATATCCAATCTTTGCAATGGGCCAAAGCAAATTGAAACCATGTTTTTCACATGGTTTAATATTATTTGCTTGTCTGCTAGTGTAATTTGGTTACCATGTTCATTTATTATTAGCCATGTTTGCAATTTGGTTACCATGTTCATTTATTATTAGCCACGTTTGCTTTGTGTGACAGTGACAACGACCAAATAAATAACATATATGTTCTACTTGTCATAAGAATAAAGTATCTTCAAGAAATTGAGGTTTGTATATAGTCTCTCTGGTCCATAAAATTTACTTTTTACATTCATTAAACTTAAGGATACAACACGACAACACGACAAGTAACCTTTAATACAACATGTGTGAATTCAAAATGAACTATGGAACTAGTATAGAACTAATGAAACTTTGAAAACTTTGCAATTGGCCAATAAGACAATTACAGAAAGTATTTGCATTAAAAGTAACTCGAAGTTTGGCAACAGCTTGGTTGCATTATCAGCTTCCATATAACCAAACAGCCGGATCCTGCTATTTTAAAGTTCCCCTTTTCACGAAGAAATCGTCAATGAATACTCAATTGCAAAAGTTTGCATTTCTTATGTGTAGACCGGAAAAAAATGTGTTTAAGGCTGATTGTTGGGCAGTTTACTGAGAATTGAGTGCTCTGGTTTGTGATCACACTCAAAGTCCAGATGAACAAATGCTCGCTCAACTTCTGGAAGTTTCTCAAGGTTTATCTGTAGAGACTCCCCAATGGCATGTGATTCTTTTAAGGGTAAATCTTCTGGGAGTTCAATGTCTACCTGCTCAAAATCAGAAACAAATGATGAGGCATAGAATAACAAAAGCAGAAAATGCCAAACTAAAATTTAAAAAACCAAGGGTGCAACCATTTGTGGGGTAAATGAGATGAGTTTTGTGGTGTATCTAATGCTGCTATAAATTGATTCTTTGTAATTCAATAATACCTCCACAAAATATAAAACGCCAAATGTATATGCCCGGACAGTGTCAACACGTTTAATTCCAGGGTGCCTTATAACGAGATAAGTTAGCTTCTGCAAAAATTCAGGAGACGCAGATTGTCCCACCAGTGAAACTGCAATGGAAGTATCAGTGATCAGAAATGGTATACAATTATATTCCCAGAAAAATGGCAAACAAATGAACTAGTATATGCTAACTAATTGCTTTTAATATCGTAAATATACATATTGCGACTTCTTTTTTTGTTTAAAATTCTGATGAGAATTACCTGCATTTTCCATGACAGTACGAGACCAATTGGTAATAGTGTAAATTGCAAGTAAAATAGCTCCAACCGGATCAATCCACCAATAAAATTTATCACCGAGAATAGCCGCAACTAATCCAACTACATTTGTTACCACATCAAAGTGGTGATCCTGCATATTGGCATGTTTTTCTATCAATTGTAGTTGACTTAATTCAAAAAAGAAAACATCACAGGAGAGGGACACTTACATCTGCGTAGGTACGGACAATCTGGTTACCTGAGCTTCTGCAGTAAAGCCAAAGTATAAGCTTCACCACAGTTGCAAATATCATGATAGAGTACAACCATAATAGTTGATCCCCCGTCATCTTTTCGCCAGGACTGTTTTCTATTAGTTGTTGTACCGCCGTAACTAGCACCTGAAAACCTGTAACAAAATCGATTTAATGCATCATTGTAAGCCTCTCCGTGTCATCACAAGAGGGAAACTCTTCATACAAGCTAGGAATATAGTTCTAGCAAACTTGACTCACCAAGTGTGGCCATGATAGCAGCAAAAACAATTATCCCTACTGGCTGAACTCTCAGCTTTCCAATGGGATACTGATAGATATTTATGTTCTTCATTGCTAAGTGAGTGTACCAAAGGATACCACCAGACATTAGATCAAGCAGAGAATCCAAAGTTGATGCAGCAATAGCTATTGACCCACTCCTTACCGTCGCATAAATCTACACATCAATGACTTGTATTATTTAAACATTAAAATACAAACACCCAATATCTTCTAGAATTCATCTACTTTTCAACATACACACAAAAAACCAAAGAACATTTGACATCAAAAGTTTGACATATCAGTTTTAACAAATCAAACAAACATTATTTTACTCAATTAAATCACAAAAGGACACATATCAGCAGCAAAGTATAATAATATTAATTAATAATAGAACAACAAACAGATAATCCAAAAAGCCAAAGAGTTCTAGTAATTGAATCCCACAAGTAACAGTTTAAAAATTAATCTCTCTACAACCATGATTACATATGTTAGATTTTTAATTGGTTTTCCTTCCAAACTTAAGTTTAACTGGAAGAAAAAAAAGTAGCTTTTATCCTGTGTCAAGAATCAAATCAAATTAAATCCAAAAAGTAGCTTTTGGGCGAAAAGTACCAAACATAGTAAATCAATATTCAATACACGTTTAACTCAAGTGTAAAGTAATCAATAGAAAATGAAATTAAATTCAAAATCACTTTGTTGATGAAAAATTGTACACACATGTGAAAAATTGAAGAAAAGAATCAAAATATTGAATATACCTTCAATATCAACAAAACTATATTTGCATAATTTGAAATCTTCATTGCTCTTTCTTGTTGAGCCAGTTCCTCTTTATCATCCTCAACAATGCCGTCAGATTCCACCACCGCATCAACTTCCTCAAATGATTTCAAAGTAGCTATTTGTTTTTCATAGTAATCTTTCTCTCCTACATGTTCATAATCATTATTCAACTTCATAGTTTCATCATACAGGTATCTGACACCGACACACCGATAATTTAGAGAGATAGAGACATACCTTGGCTTAAGCCGGTGCCTTTGGAGAGATCAATGTCAAAGGGAGCCTCAGAGTCAAGGCTAGGACGGATCTTATCAGGAAGCATGGACATGAAAGCGGATCTAAGAGAGTTAACGGAGTTCCGGCGAGAGATTCGGGTTCTCCGACCGTCGTGTTCGGTGGAGTTCCGGTCATTTTTGGACAAAAGCGGGCGCGTGGGATCCGAACCCGAATTCATGTCCATGTTTGTTTATGAATTTTCAGCGAAGGTCATGTAATGAACCATGCAGTACTCCTATAAATAAAGGAAATGAAACCGAACAAAAATAAATAAATTATGAAAACTAACGCACACAGATTTTTTTTAGTTTTTGATAAGTAATACAGTAATGGTCACATAAAAAAGATAAATAATAATAATAATAATAATAATAATAATAATAATAATAATTATTATTATTATTATTATTATTATTATTATTTTCAATTGTATTTTCTAGCGTCCAGTATATGTTTTTCGGAAGTAACTGATAATGTTCATATTGTTAAATTTAATATTTTGTTACATATAGATATATTTAAATTTAGGGAATGTGAATTTTTTAATGGTATTTCATGTTAGTGGACAAAAAATTATAATTTATTAATATGAACAAAAAAGAGAATAATACTCATGTATAGATATAGTAAAAATATTTTAAATTATGAGTTAATCGTAACTGGTAAATTTTTATAAGTTGTTGACTTTTATTTTTATTACATATAAAATATTAAAATTTAATTGAAACATATTTATAAAAAATTTTATATTATTAGTTAATCACAACTATTAATTTATTTAAACTGTTTACTTTTTATTTTAATTTTTTTAAATAATATATTTTAATGGTTATGATATATTGTTGGGGTAAAAAATTTACACGAAAAGTGCGTAATAAAAGATTGTGATATATTAATTGTGTAAAATATTTTACCGTGATCGTATACAATAACTAATCTATAAAAATAATAATAAATTTTTATAGGTTCAATATTATTTTATTAATAAAAAATAATTTGGTCAATCAAGTGTGTGATTTTAAAAGTATGTGATGTTAAAATTATAATAGTATAAGTTAAATATTTTGAATTATTTTGATAGGAAAGTTAGAAAAGAGATTACATTTCCATTTAAAGTCGAGGAAAATCACTATCATCAATTTATAGTAATGTTTCTTTAATTGGAAATTTTATAATGAAGTTTGTATAAGTGTCAGCAGAAAGTGGTATGTAATCAGCTATTTTTTTCATTCGTATATTTGTTTGATATTTTTTGAGAATAAATTTTAAACTTAATACATGCTTTCTCCATTAATTTAATTTAATATTTTGTTTTAATTTCTTAACTAATAAAGCACAAGTTAGTCATCGGTAAGAAAAGTCATTTTATTCAAAAAGTTTTTTTTGTTCTTTTGTTTCTGATTGTACTTTATCAGAATGGACTGTCACAGCTAGCTCGAGCAGAAGTTGAGTGAGATGGGGGAAGATACCTGCAAGACACTCTGATGCTAAAATAAATTGCAGAATGAGCAAGCAAGCATGAGAGTTGGAAAGTGTTGAATACCTGACTTTCGAGGGGGAGAGGGTATTTATAGCCCCCAGCGCTGGGTCAATGTCTCTATATTGGATTGGTCAAGCAGGCCCAATGTAGAGACTGCCAAGTCCTACGTGAGTAGTGGGGACCCGCACGTGGTCCCCTACCTGGATGACGTTCTCCACAAGGTCAGGAGGATATGGATGTGGTCTTTCCGGAACCACGAAGACTTTGTTATATCCTGAGACATTGGTAGTCAGCCCTACGAGGAGGGATGCTCAGGAGGAGCATCTGCACGTTGTGGTGATCCCCATCATACGCGAGGTCGATGGGGGATCAGTCTTGATCGACGAGCTAGTTGAGGTGTCCTCGAAGCCTTCATGGTCGGAGGTGACCGCCCTCAGTCTACTCGGGGCGTTGTCTCCGCGTGGTGAGGTTGTCTCCTCGTGGGGAAAGGGTGATAGTTGCCCGCCGTGTTCGAGGGTAGAACCAGTCAGTGGTGCAGGTTGACACACTTGGATTGGGTCTTACTGGGAGTTGGGCCAAGGACAGGCCCAGTCCAGAACAGGAGCCCCCCAAGTCATTGCTCCTGATGAAGGAGTCATGACTTAGTTCTAGTTTGTCCTTTTGGGAGGTGAGCTGCTCGATACGGAGTTCTTATACCGTAGACGGAGAACATCGTCGGTTAATGATTTTTCCTCGAGCAGCGGTCGAAGTGGGTTCGATGAGGACTCGCGGGGGGAAGATGATACACTTATCAGACATGTGGCGTGGCTCTTGGGAACAGTAATGATGACCTAGGGAGTATGGGCCATCATTGCCTGTACATGTAGGTGTCGAGGAGAAAGGCGGCTTATGAGCTGTCCGACGCGATGTTTCACATTCCACGTCAGCTCTATAAATAGGGCTCCAGGGCTCATGATTTACTTTCATATTTCCGCGCTCTCCACTTTCTCCGTTGTCTACACCGTGCCTTTTTCCAGAATCCTTGAAACCGCCGCACAGTCCGCCGCGTACTCTTCCTCAACCATCGTCGTTCTTCATCTATTCTTCAAGTAAGCGTTCTTTCTCCTTGATATCCTGTGTGTAGGTAGATTTTGATGATGTTTAGTAGTAAGATTTCGCATCTGGGGGGTTCCGCCCGGGGAATTCATGCGTTTAGGCGTATGATTTATGATTATGCCTGTGATATTCATGCATTTAGGCGTATGGTTTATGATTAGGCCCGTGATATTCATCCTTTCATCAGTACTTAGGTTAGTTTCCCTATGATCTCCATGTGTTTGGCTAACAAATTTATGAACTTGATCATGAGATTCATAGTCTGCTCGCCATATTCTTCCCGTGCCCGGTATATTTATGAAAAAATAGGTGTTCGTCGCTAGGATCGTTGCGTGATCTTAGAGGATCGACATAATTTTCATGGGCCGATCGAGGTCCACGTATTTCCCCTTTTTGTGCGACTGACCGTCGACTTGGTCTGGGCGTTGCTTAGCCTCTTCATCTGCGTTATGGAAAGGTGGATTTTCTGTCGAATTCACTGGTTTCCTGTGCTTTGCAGGTAAAAGGACGACACTCCCGAGTCATAGAGCATATGGACACTGAAGGAACTAGCGTAGCCAAGGAGAGCGTCAATCTGGTTGACACAGTCGACGATCCTACTCTGGATTGGGTTGGTGCGGAACCTCGAGGGATAGCCTCGATCTATAGTTACACCGGGAGGCAAGCCTATACAGTCGTCGAGTATGGCGGCGGCCAGGAGGGTTTTCGAAGAAATTTCAAAATCATGAGGCTGACGCAAGACGCTTGCATATGCTCGGAGTTCACCCAGGATGCCTTCCCTATGTATGAGGTCGTGTTCAAAGACCTTGGACTTCGGCTTCCTTTTAACGACTTCCAGATGGGGGTGTTCAATCATTTGAACTTGGTGCCCTCTCAGCTTTATCCCAATGTGATTGCCTTTATCCGGGCATTCGAACTTACATGTCGGTTCCTGAGGATCGGGCCGACCATTCCCCTGTTCTTCAGGGTTTTTTACTTGCAACGGCAGTTCCGAGGAGGGAAACATAGTTGCGTATCCCTTAAACAGTCGAAGAGGTTGTTTAGGATGTACATGGGTTCTGTCCGGGACTTTAAGGACAAGTGGTATATCTTGCAACCATCTACCCAAACAGTCTTGGATTCCCTGTTCGACCCGGCTACCGTTGTGGACGAGGATGGGGAGCCGTGCTTGGACTCCAAGGGTAATCCTGAGATTGGGAGAATCTCAAAGTTTCCCATCCACTGGTGCTCACCCCACTACGACCACGGTACCAGATATTACCACACTTCGGCCAGCGGTATGAGCGTCGAGGACGAGGAGGCATATGGCGTCCTCAATCGATTCGTCAATGGTTTCTTCCCCGCTAGGTGGGTTACGAGGGAGGGGCACGACGTCCTTGATGAAGACGGCGAACCAACGTTCGAGGCACATCCGAGCAATACCAAGGCGCTCGTCGAGTGTCAATCTTACGGGCAGGCCGCAGATCTCTTAGGTTTCCTGCTTACTTTTACTATATTGCTTGCCTTCTTTTATTTCTTCAACGAAGCTGAACCGGTCACATTTTCTTTGTTTTTGCAGGTCACATGGCAGAGCACCGCGAGAGATTGCTGAAGTTGACCCAGGAGAAGAAGAGCAACAAGAGGTTGGTGAAACCGCAACAAGCTACGCGCACGGATCCAGCCCCCAAGCCGGTCAGGGAAGGATCTAGTGGGTCCTCGGGTTCTCGTGATGTCGAGTGCCAAGCCGTGTTGTTGAGCAAGAAGCGGAGTCGTCCAGAAGGTGGACATGCCAATGTAATTGACGGAGGGGCGGGTGCCCGGGCCTTCAGCCTACCACCCTGCTTCGTAGAAAAAGACTTCTTTGAGGGTTTTCCCTTGATTGTGTCCGATAGTGAGTCTGACATCATCAGGAGGCTCGACAAGGAAGGTCGAAGGAAGCACCTCGTTGCCAACATGGTTGGGGTTGTGAAGATGGCATATATGGTCGTTATCCTGGCGGGAGAAGGGTCAGACTCCTCCGATCGGGTCAAGGAACTAGAGTCAGAGAAGGCTACTCTTGTGACAAAAACCCACACGCTAAAAACCGCTTTTGAACGAAGCGAGGAGATGTTTCGTGAGCAGTCCGACGTGCTGGTGGGGGAGAAGGAGAGAGCCGAGAAAGCCCTCGAAGACAAATAATGCCTCCAACTCGATAAGGAACGGTTGGAGAGTGATAACCAATGGCATACGAGGGAGGTTGCAGATCTGAAGGCTGTTATGATACCCGTGGAGGGTGATCCTGAGGGGGTAGTCGATTTGCGCACGTGTGCTGACTTCATCGCTCGAATTCAACTCCTAGAGTCAGACTGCATTGACGCCTTGGCCGATGGATTTGAATATGCTGTGAATCAGTTGTCTGTGCTGAACCCTGGATTAAACACTGAAGGAACCAGGGTTTTTTCCCAGGTGATTGATGGTCGGGTGGTTCCCCGTCCTGACTCTCCCAAGGTTGAAGTGAGTACTCCGGGGAGCAATTGACATTTTTGTTTTTTCATCTTATTTGTATTTGGGCCTGCGTGCCCGTAATATTTGTAATATTCAGACATCTTCGACCCAAGTGGTCGCCATTAACAATTATTTTGCTTTGTTTT